GTCATGGTTATTGGAGAGGTCCCTTCGGGTACACGTGGTAGTTGTGGTTTAACGCCAAATTTTCGGGAAGAGAATGTCGATTAAAAGGCTGATGAACGGTCTATAATTAGGGATAAGTTCGGTGATGTTGCCGAAGTTAATATATACCCCACAGAGCAGTGATTGTGGGACTAAGCGTTGGAAATGAGTTAGTGTTAAGTGTATACAGAACTTACCCACCCGTATACCTAGAGTGAGTGTACAAGATGTTGTTCTCTATGAGTGTGTCTAATGAATGAGAAGTGTGCTGGGTTGAATGGTGGTTAATGAAAGGTATCTTATACAAGTGATACCATTGGATTTTCCTTCCTTTTCCAGGTATGTTCAGGGTTTACTCTCTTCATACCAGATTTACCACAGTGTATTCTCTGTGAGTAAGAACAAGTCTTCGGCTTATTTGATTGATTTATGTTTTGGTCTACCGAATACGTCTCTAGGTGCTGTTGCCGACTCAAAAGAGGCCATTCCATTTGTATGGTTGTAAACGGATGTGATGTTTTTGCATCTCGGAACTTAAGGAAACGGGAAAGCAATAGTCAGTTATTAGATAGATCGGGTACCATGTACAAAAATTGCGTGTAAGAAACACAAAGGGGCGGTAGTGAGTCTTCTAGTCAGCTCTCCCAGTGGTACCTCGTAGAAGTTCTCATAATGACGACTTCTTGGAAACATCGTTAGGTTCCATATTTTTGTTATTATAAGAACAATCTTTTGCCATTTGCTTATCTTTTTTAAATAATTTATTTCGTTGGTCTCATTTTTTATTCTTAAAATCCCACAAAGCAATCAAGAACATAATAGCAGATGTTCCAATATTGTGGATGAAAATAATTGCTCAAAAACCGCAATTAAAACTTATAAATAAACCAAATATCTTTGGTTGTTTTGATATGTATTTTTTAAATAAAAATTACTATTATTATAAAGCTTTTAATAAGTTTTATTTTAATAAATAAATACAACTTTAGATAAATTGTGTATATTTGACTTAATGCGGGACGCTCGCATATACAAATACCTACTTAAATAAGTACTTACAAATAGGGAGTTAAAGAGTTGTTTTGTTTTACGCACAACATTGCTCACACAAAACACGAAACTGGGATTCTTGTTCGTTAAGTACAAGTTATTACCGAGTTTTTGTGGAGCTTGTAAGTAAAAATTATATACATAACTATGTAATGGAAAAGGTAACTAGTTCGTTCTCTAGAAAATCCTTCAAATTAGCAAAATGTTTATTTGTTGAGTACATTGTATTCATACGTCACTACAATACCGATCATTCATCATTTATAATGATCACACTATAATATGCATTTTATTACTGTTCGTTTTTGTTTAAAGTCAAGGCTTTTGTTTGTGTATTTCTTTTTTTTTTATAAAATAATTTTAATTTGCCATTGATTTTCTTTAAGTTTATAAAAGAATAAAGAGTCTCTTTACCAATGTTTTATAAACAACAACAAAGAAAATGTTTTTATTATTAATAAACAAATCATAAATTTTCCCAAAAAAAGTAAGGAAAATTTGCTTGCTATCGTTGAAATATTTATTATTTGCATTTTTTTTATTAAACGTTCCTTAACTTTTTTATCTATTCAATTTATTTTAAATAGTAAAAAAACATTAAAACAAATATATATTTATGTAAACAAATTTAATAAGAAAAGAAGGTGCAAACGAATTAAATAAATATTGTTTCATCAACTTAACGTTTATTATGATTCATCATCATACTGTTTTCTAATTTATTCAAATAATTTATAAAATAAATATACATTTGGTGTCATTCTAAACCGTTTTAATATACATATAGTGGAAATATGTTTTAGCTTTGTTCGCGTATTAGTCAGAGTTTTTTTATTTCAGTATGATTGTTGTATAAAAAAACTAATTTTGTTTATTTTTAGTAAGATTTTAAAGAAACAAATACCAAATTTGTAACTTAGTTGGAATTAGTCCTCGAAGCCTGAATAGGCTTCAATTTGCTATTTACATATTTATCTAAGTCCAGTTTTTTTAAATTCCTAAGATGTCTGTGAAACAAACAAATTTAGCTTTTTGTAAAAATATAAACAAAAATTGAAAACAGCTGTTTATACAAAATAAATATAGAGAAGTACAAAAAATTAAGCGGAAAACAAAATTTTTGCAAATATAAAATTGGAATTGGTTTAAAAAAAGAAATAAAAAAAAAAAAAAACAAATTTTTTTATAAGTAAATACAAACAACATTTTTTAATATTAAGTCAATCTTATTTGATTATTTTTTATACCCTACACCACTATAGTGGGGAGTGTATTATGCGTTTGTGCTGATGTTTGTAACCAAAGAATATAAAGAAATTGGGGCTTGTCAGTTGGTACGTAAAGGAGTTGTCATTCGGTACCTAACTCTAAGTATGTATTGGTAGAATTTTTGTATTAGTATTGGAGCTCCAACCACTTTCACCACACTTTCCAAACATACATACTTGCATAAAATCGTACATACAAATTTTAGGAAAAATAAATAACATTTAAATTTCTACATTCGCAGATTTTTTAATTTATTTTGCCCACATCTAATCAGTAAACATTTAATGAATATATTTTTCGGACTTAAAATCTCTTTTTTTGCAAAAAAATAAGTTTATTTTAAATAATTTTTTCATTTTCAATACCAAAATATGCAACTTTGTTTTGTCAATTTTAATTTCAACACTCAAAAATTAATTGTCAAAAAAATTAAAAAAATATTTTTTTAGTTTGTGAAAAATAAAAATATTTCGGATTGTTAAATGCGATAAAATTGTGTAAAAAATTAAAAAATAGTTATGTGTTTGTGAAAAAACGTCGTTCAAGCCCTATTATCCCGGTATTTTCGCGAAAAAGTTTTGAAGTATTGTGAGAGAATTGAGTTCTCACAAGTGTGTTGAATTTACACAGAACTCGTCTGTGAAGAGAAGGAAATGTTATTGTTGTAAAACAATGTCATAGTCCAACTTCTTACTATTCTTTGTTTGTAACACTCAAAAATATTGGTCCTATAGCCACCATAAAGTATACCAATCTGCTCAAAATCATTTTCTGAGTCGATTTAGCTATGACCGTCTGTCCGTCCATCTGTGTTTCCATGTAAACCTTGTTCGCACGCTACAGGTCGCAATTTTCAAGATAATTTGATGAAATTTGGCCCCTGACCCCATATAACCCCTCTTTTAGAAAATCTCTTTCCAACAAATTGTTAAAATATTTCTGAATTAAGGTAAAAATTACATTAAATGCTTTTTTATTAAAAAAATCAACATTTTTAACATAATCACTGGTGTAGAATCATATGATCGGCATTGCCCGACTATAAAATCTTACTTGTGTTTGTCATATGTTGACAAACATATATCAGTAGCTTTTATTTAATAAGATAAATAATACAAAGTATTTCGAAGTTAAAAAATCAAAATTTTTTAAACATTTTCAACTAAAAAAAACAAAAAATAACTAAATGTTGATTCCCTTCATGCATCTTTTAGGTATCAATTAGAAGAACTTAATAAATAACTGTTAAAGTAAATAGCTGAGAAACTGCTGGGGTAACTGATACGTTACCAAAAACTGACTCGATCGACTACTTTGTACAAGCTACCATACTGACTGACTTCTTATATTCTATTTAGGATTGATAGATTTCTATTATTTTGACTATTATCCAATTTTTACTACTATTCCACTTTTCTGTTTAAATACCGTCTGGAAAAAACTAAATTTTTTATTTACTCATTGAAAGATAAACAAATTATCAATTAAATTATAATGTTTTTAATATTAAAAACAATTTTAAAGGAATTTAATTAAAAAAATTCATTCTTATGTATCATTTATTTTTTATTTAACCATTTACTCACCATTGTTCAAATAAATAAATAAAAACAATTAACATGAATTTTATAATGCGTAGACTTTTTGACAACAGTTTTTTTTTAATGACGTATAAATTGCTTTTTTCTAGATAAAATATTAATTCAGTTTTAATTAAAATATAAAAGGGGAATTTTAAGAGAAATTTGGCAGTGCTATTAATACTATTAAATGTTAAATCATTTCTTTTATAAATTCTTAAGAATTATATTTTCTCATATTTCATATAAATATTATAAATAGTTCTAATATTACATTACGTCATTTTGCCTTTAGCTCCCTTTTTTTTCTGTGACACCTCCCTGTAATATAAAATGTGGGCTTGTATATGCTTAAATAGTTTTGTTTTTGGTTTTTAGCACGTTTTTTTTCGTACTACAACATTTTCCCGTACTGCTGATGAATTAGTAATCAAACATATTTATTTAATTTTTTTTTTAATAAATTAATTTTTATGACATGAATTCTTCATTTATCGATTTTTTATTTATTCTTCTCTTTTTATTTTCTACTTCTTTGGATTTGTTTTCTTACAAGCTGATAAAATTCCATTGGTTGACTATACATACTCAAACAATTATAAGCAAAGTAGTCTAAGTCAAGAAATTAGAGAAATATAGTGTACGAATAGTATAACATTAAAATCTCTACACTATAAATAATCCATGTCTAATTTTACGAAAAAAAATCATAATATTTAAGAATATTTCATTTGTAATATGACCATTTTTTTTTTAATAAAATTTAATTTGTAATTTGGAAAAGGTAAGATTTTTGTAAAAAAAACACTTAAATGGAGAGCCATGTGGAGAAAAATTTTCGTAGCAAATTATTTCATGATATTCAAGAAACTTTCTTGTATTTTACGAAATTATTTTATTCAAGGGAAATTTAATTAAAATTTTATAACTAAACTTCTCATTATTGTAACACTCTTTGATCATTGAATTAGATAATAATTAAATTATCATTTAATTTTATTTATTTACGCTTTCATTTATGTTTTGTTTATTTATTTGTTCATTTAATTATTATTATATATTTTTATTTTGTTTTTATTTTAGGACTCATGTGCTAGAGCAGGAGATGCGTAATCCATTTAGTATTTGCAATGTAGACTGCCTGCTAGACACAGTGACCGCGTTGGTTTCCGACTGTGATCATGAATCATTGAAACGCCTCAAAAATATAGAACAATATGCATCAAAATGTAAGTAAATTGAATTTAATATCGAATGTTTCGTTGTGTTTGTTATCTTTATAAATTAATTGTTTACGTTAAAGAGCAATAAAATTAAATGAAAACATTATCATATTAAAATGTAAATAAACAGTGTTTGGAAAAAAATTAAATTGTAATATTTTGTAATTTATAAAAGAAAATAAAAATTTCAATATTGGAATTTCAAAATTAAAGACGATTATAAAATTGAATTCTAAATTTATTTCTTTTGCAGACAAGCCACTCGCACAACAAATCTGCCAACTGCGCATGAATGTGGAAGATTTTGATTTTATTAAAATCATAGGTGCCGGTGCTTTTGGTGAAGTACAATTGGTTAGGCATAAATCCTCCCGTCAAGTGTATGCTATGAAAAGACTTTCAAAATTTGAAATGATGAAACGACCGGATTCGGCATTTTTCTGGGAAGAACGTCATATAATGGCACATGCCAACTCTGAATGGATTGTTCAATTACATTTCGCTTTTCAGGATAACAAGTATCTGTATATGGTTATGGATTACATGCCCGGTGGTGATATAGTATCATTGATGTCAATGTATGAAATACCCGAAAAATGGGCCATATTCTATACAATGGAAGTGGTTTTGGCGTTGGATACCATACACAATATGGGTTTTGTGCATCGTGATGTAAAGCCCGATAATATGTTACTGGATCGTTATGGTCATTTAAAGTTGGCTGATTTTGGTACTTGTATGCGTATGGGCTCTAATGGTTTGGTGGTATCCAGTAATGCTGTAGGTACACCCGATTATATAAGTCCTGAAGTCTTGCAATCCCAGGGTGTGGATAATGAATATGGCCGTGAATGTGATTGGTGGTCTGTGGGCATTTTCCTTTACGAAATGCTAGTGGGTGATACTCCCTTCTATGCTGATTCTTTGGTGGGCACATATGGCAAAATTATGGATCATAAAAATTCTTTAAGTTTTCCGGCCGAAGTAGAAATTAGTGAAAATGCTAAAAGTCTTATACGAGCCTTTCTCACAGATCGCACTCAAAGGTTGGGTCGTCATGGCATAGATGAGATTAAGCAGCATCCATTTTTTCAGAATGACACTTGGAGTTTTGATAATATTAGAGAAAGTGTTCCTCCTGTAGTACCAGAGCTTTCATCTGATGATGATACCAGAAATTTCGAAGACATCGAAAGAGATGAGACTCCAGAAGAAGTATTTCCCATACCCAAGAATTTTGATGGTAATCACTTGCCATTTATAGGTTTCACCTACACGGGAGATTATCAGTTGTTGTCGAACAATGACACCGTCGACGCTGAGGCTAAGGAAAACAGTACAAATATTGCCAATCACAACCATAGACATAGACCTTCTAATTCGAATGAAATAAAACGTTTGGAAGCATTACTCGAGAGAGAACGTAATCATTCCGAAACATTGGAGAAACAAGACAAAGCCTTGAGACAACAATTGGAAATTATTACAAAACGTGAAGCCGAATTACAAGCTATGTCTTCCGAATATGAAAAGGATTTGGCTATAACGCAACACAACTATAAAATTGCTTTGCAGAAGTTTGAACAGGAGATTGAGTTACGCAAGAAAACTGAAATTCTTTTGGCCGAAACGCAGAAAAATCTTGACAACGAACAGAAAATCCGAACACGTGAAATGAACAATAATCAACATCATAACGAAAAAATAGTTACGCTTGAAAAGCAATTAAAAGAAATGGAGGAGAATTTCAAAAATGAAACCGAAAATTCTCAAAAACTAAAGAAACAAACAGCGGAATGGGGTTTGGCCAAACAAGAGCTCGAAGCTAAAATAGCTCAAAACCAAGTAATGCTGACAAGCTTGCAAAATCAAAAGGAAACTTTGCAGCAAGAAGTAGCCGAACTTCAAGCTCAATTGGCACAGGAGAAAAATTCACGTTCTCAATTAAAAGAACTGCAGAAAGAAACGGAGAATAAATTACAAACCATTTCGAATGATTTAGAGAGAGCCGTAACAAGAGAACAACAAGCTTACGAAGACAATCGAGTATTAACAGAGAAAATTTCCGATTTAGAAAAATCCAATGCTAGTTTAGATTTTGAATTGAAAGCAGCCCAGGGTCGGTACCAGCAAGAAGTTAAAGCACACCAGGAAACAGAAAAATCACGTATGTTAAGTCGCGAAGAAGCCAACCTACAAGAAGTTAAAGCTTTACAAACCAAACTTAATGAGGAGAAGTCGGCGCGCATTAAAGCCGATCAAAATTCTCAGGAAAAGGAAAGACAATTAAGTATGCTCTCTGTAGACTACAGACAAATACAACAACGTTTGCAAAAGTTGGAGGGTGAGTGCCGACAAGAGGCTGAAAAAGTTACGGTATTGCAATCACAACTGGATCAAGAACATACGAAAAAGAATTCATTACTCTCCGATTTAAGCCTAAAGAGTTCAGAAGTGGCCCATCTAAAATCCCGAGAAAATCAATTACAAAAGGAATTGGCTTCTCTTAGAGAAAATAAACGTAAACATGAGGAAGACATGTCCCAAATAAAGATTGCTCTCAACAAGGAGATCCTACAAAAGAAAGAACTTCAAGATCAACTAGATGCCGAACAAATTTTCTCCCGCCTTTATAAAGCACAAGCTAATGAACACCGTGAAGAAATTGAGGAAAAATCTCGCGAAATACAAGATCTTAAAGAGGAACGTGTCTCACTTAAACATCAAGTACAAGTAGCTGTGGCTCGTGCCGACTCCGAAGCATTGGCTCGTTCTATTGCCGAAGAAACTGTAGCGGATTTGGAAAAGGAGAAGACCATTAAGGAATTGGAACTTAAAGACTTTATGACCAAACATCGCAATGAAATATCCGCCAAAGATTCTCTTTTGGCAGCAGCTAAAGATGCTGAAGCCGATTTTATTAAGAAAATTAATCAAAAGAATTCCGAATATGATGATTTGATGCAACAGAATAAGAAATTGCAAGAAGAAATGGCACAGGTGAAGACAACGAAGGAAGAGGAAATTGTTAAACTCAAAGAGAAATGGAAGAATGAAATGCTTTTGAAACAGGTGGCTGTTAATAAATTGGCCGAAGTTATGAATCGTAGAGATACAGATTTGCAAAGTAAGTGGATCATCAGGTTACCAATATTTTATAAAATTATGCAGTTAAAATTTTTCTACGAAAACTTCTATTCAATAATCTCCTCTCTATTTTAGAACAAAAAGGCAAAACACGTTCATCCGCCGAATTGCGTAAGAAAGAAAAAGAAATGCGTCGTTTACAACAAGAAATGCAGCAAGAACGTGAGAAATACAATCAATTGCTACTTAAACACCAAGACTTACAAAGTCAAGTCATTGAAGACAGTCACGTGAGTTTCCAATTCAAATACAACTTCATTTTTAATATTTACATATTTCATTACACTTTTTCAGATTAAACAAAAACTACAAATGGAAATTGACTGCAAGGCCACAGAGATTGAGCAACTGCAATCTAAGCTCAATGAAACTGCATCACTATCATCAGCCGATAACGATCCCGAAGACAATCAAGTGTGTATACGTTTCATCTTAAGACAAAATATTCATTTATTTATTTTTTGTTTGTTTAATATATCATACAAAAACCATCTAATATTGTTTCTAACTTTTTCTCTATTTCTATATTTTTACAATTTACCTTTTGGCCCATCAACTTCATGCTCATCTAAACAAAACAAAAAAAAATTTCATCTTCATTTAAAAATAAAATAAAAAACTAATTAATCATGTGAAACTACTGTTACATACACTGCAATATCACTACTACTACTATTGCTCTACTAACGTGTCCTTTTTATGTATTTGCGTGTGTGTGTGTATTTAAAATTGTATAGAATTCATCCTTACTTTCACTTACACAGGATTCGGTATTCGAGGGCTGGTTAAGTGTGCCCAATAAACAGAATATAAGACGTCATGGATGGAAACGTCAATTTGTGGTGGTATCATCACGTAAAATTATATTCTATAATTCTGAAATTGACAAACAGAATACCATTGATCCTGTGCTAATATTAGATTTAAGGTAAGATTGTTGTTTGTTGAATGTTTTAATATTAGTTTAAATGACTTGGTTTTTTTTCTTTTGATAACTTCAGCAAAGTGTTTCATGTAAGATCAGTAACTCAGGGTGATGTTATAAGAGCCGATGCCAGAGAGATACCACGAATTTTCCAATTGTTATACGCCGGTGAAGGAGAAGCCCGCCGACCCGATGAACAACAACAATTGGATATAAGTGTGCTTAGAGGTGGTAATGCCGAAGAACGACCAGGATCCATAATACACAAAGGTTTGTTGCTGTTGAAGTGTAAAGAAGTATTAACCTATTAAATGATAATTAATTGTAGGCCATGAATTTGTGCATATTACATATCATATGCCCACTGCTTGTGAAGTGTGTCCTAAACCCTTGTGGCATATGTTTAAACCACCAGCGGCCTATGAGTGTAAAAGGTAAGTTTTTTGTTTTTTTTTTTTAATTAATAATTTATTAAATTCATAATATGTTTTTTTTAGATGCCGCAACAAAATCCACAAGGAACATGTTGACAATAATGATCCCTTAGCCCCTTGCAAACTGCATCATGATCCTCACAGTGCGAGAGAAATGCTTTTGTTAGCTTCCAATACCGATGAACAGAATTTATGGGTATCACGTCTCTCTAAACGTATCCAAAAATGTGGATATAAGGCGAATTCCTCATCTAATAATAATAGCAATAATACCGATGGTAGTAAAATATCACCAAGGTGAGACTTTTTTTAAATACTAATACAAATTTATACGTATTTGGGTTCTTTTTAAAGTGGTTTATATCATTTTAATTTCATTACTGGTAGCTTAGTTAATTCTAATAAGAGAGAGAAACTACTTCATGTTTAATATGATTATTAATAATGCTATTAAAATTTATTTTTAATTTATTGTGAAATGATTTGCTTAAAATTTCAAAATAGAAATTAAAGTAATTTTAAATGCAATTCTTTGTTCACTCCTTGTATTGAAGATTGAATTAAAATTTAAACATATTTTAAAATGTATTGTCTGAAATGTCGCAGAAAAGTCCAGTGATATTATTTACTTGAGTTTGATATGGGACTTTTCAACAGTTCTCTGTATAAAATGTTATCCAAGTACTCAGCAAAACCATAACTTAAATCCAGAAAGAAGTGGAAATTACTACTTAAAAAAGTCATTAGAAGCAGTGGTTTTAACACAGGCCTGTCATAGAAGGGATGACCCTTTTCGATACCTCTTTATTACTTCTGTAGTCAAATGTAATTAGGCAATTTGCAATAATTCTTTAGAATGCCTTGTTGCAAATTTATTTAAACTGGAGTAGTTTTTTTCTATTTCATTTTATAATTTTTCATATTTACAATTATTTAATAAACTAAATATTATTCTCTTTTTATTATCATGCTTTATGTGTGTCTAATAATGATTTAAAAACGAACAAAAACATTTACTAAACAAAAACATGAAATTGGTAATTTAATGTCTTATTAAAACAAACATCTTTTTTTTCCTGTATCTTTTTCTTTGTGTGTGTGTGTGTCTCTCTTAAAAAATATCAATGCTCGTAACCTCCATCATACTACTACATCCATTGCTGATCCTTAAAAACAAAAACAAACATATTAAATAAAACGAATACGAAAACAAATTTGCAAAATAAAACAACTACAAAATCATATAAAATTAAAATAAAAAAAAAAAAAACAGCCAATCAACACGTTCCAATTACAAGCCATATGCAGTTAATGTACAAAGATCAGCTACGCTGCCAGCGAATTCATCATTAAAACAGTGATTTATAATGTTTTATTATTATTTTTTAATTTTCTTAAAAATTTAACTTTAGTTTTATTAATTTTTTTAATTTAAATTTATAATCTCTAATTTCTGCTGTTTATATTTATATTAATCTGTAACAGAGTTGTTTTTCATTTTAAGTTGCTTCTTTTGTTTTTAATTTAAACTAATAATTTTTGTTTTTTCTCTCCCTCGCTCACATAATAAATAATTTAATAATAACGCTATTAATTTTTTAATTTTGTTTATCTGTTAATTATCTTATTATTATTATTATTTCCTTTGTGTTTATTAAACCAAAAACCTTTTTATTTTTGCTAAATAACTTAAACTTATCATTATAACATTTACTAAAAAAAAGAAGAAAAGAAAAGTATGTACTTTAAAAAAGAAAACCTAAAAAATAACTTTTATCTCTTTAAATTATTGCTCTAATTTATCAACAATATAATCAACTGAAAGATGTTAAAAACAGAAACATTATTAATTTTTAAACATATTTTTTTATAAACATTTTATAAAGTAGCTTTTATGTTTTTTTTTTATCTAAGGAAAGAAGAAGTATAATTTAGGCACTAAAGTGTAACTTAAATGAGAAAAAATAAGATATTTTTTATTTGTATTTTATTTTTATATATAAAAATTTATTCTTAAGCAATTGCCAAAACTCTTAAAAGAGAGCCAATATAAAAAAAGAAAAAAATCTTGAAAAAAATCAATAAAAATTTTAAAAATAATAAAAAATTACAAAAAAAAAAAAAATACAATACTTATAATTAATTAGTGTATAAATTACTACATATCCTTTATTATTCTACCCCCTTTACATTTCTGGCAACTGTTTTGTATTAATTAAATAACGAAACATAACCAACTATAGGAAAATATTTAGCTTTGGCAATGAACTAAGAAGAGATTTGAAATATTTTTGAGAAATTTCAGAAAAACAAATAAACTTTACAATTGCAGCAAAAATTCTCGACTATAGACAAGATTATAGAAAACTTATAGCCTCGTCTTTAGACAGAACTATGAATTATCATCTACAGACAATTCTATAGTCTCGACTCTAGACAATATTAGGTTTGTTTGGATCAGTTATAAAAATGATTTGTATATTCGGTAAAGTTTAGTATAAAGATTTATTTCTTTAATAACAATTTAGTTTTTCATACTCTACTGTCTTACTTTAAACTAATCTTTACATCTATAACACTTTTTCAAACATATTTCAAATCTTTCTAGTTTAAAAAACATAAAAAAACATTTCTATTCACTTCTCTATCTCTTAACTATTTTTTTTAATAATTTTATATTTATGGCATAATTTGTTCTTTAAAAGGAATAAAAAAACAAGAAATAATTTCATACCAATGTTGCAACTAATAATTCCATACTTAAAAGTATCAAATATGAAAATTATACTTATACATTTCAATTAATATTAATTCAAATTTAAGTATTATGAAAAAAAAATATATAATTTTTGTTTTGTTAATTTTAATTTTATTTTGTATTATTTTTAAGTTTTATTATTTTTGTACATTTTATTTTAATTTTATATTTTTCCTAATTTATTATTTTATGCTTTTAGTTTTCCAAAAAAGAAAAAACAAGAAAAAAATTATTCAAGTCAATTAAAAAACGCTATCATTCTCGATTTAATTTGTGTACTCTTCATTTGTATTTGAGTTTAATTTTAAATGTAATAATTTTAATTTTATTATAATTTCTTTATTTAAAAATATGTCTACAACAACCATAATAAGAATAATAATAATACTTTAAAAATAAAGAAAACCCAATAAAAAATATAATTATTTTGTAAAAACCAACAAAAAACATTAAAATATTAATCATTTTTTTTTATTATGCTTTTGTTTTATTTTGAATGGCTGGACTTTTTATTTTCACTTACATAATTGTTTTGTTGCAGCTTGTTGTTGTTTCTGTTACTGTTCGAGTACTATAATAATATAATTTAGTTAGTTTTTTTTTAAATAAATAAATAAATCATTTCGGTGTGAGTGTTTGGTTGTGTAAATATTTTAATTTAAACTTTTAATTTTGCAGTCGTTTGAAAATACTTCGACATCAATTATCTGTACAAAAATCTTAGCAAACTTCCTTCTACAACTCCAACGGCTTTATCGTTTACTACACAACTTTCAACACGTTTAAGTAATCGTTTGCTCAACAGTTTTATACGACGTTTTCGTAATAAAAGAAACAATGATTAAATGATTGAATGAACTAAATGATTAAATCAATTAATAAACTATATAAAAAATTTTACATACTATAAACAAACTATTTCTATTGTTTCTATTTGTTTAATTAAAATTACGAATTTACTTAGTTTAGTCTTTAAGTGTGTGTTTTTTTACTTTGTTTACTTAAATCTATAAGTTACATTCCTATTTGTTAGTATAATCTTATTATGTATTATTATTATTATTATTACTAATAATACACATTTGTTTTTCGTTTTATTCTTTTAAAGCATTTATAGTTTAATTTATTGTTAATATACTTACGTATAATAAGTACTTTTTTGTTAATAAAAGTTTCTTTCTTTTGTATTATCATCTCTGATAAACGTTAATCAAATTATAAAGGATAATAACAAACATGTTTTTAAGACTAGGATTGAAATGTGCCTTGTATATACAAAACATAAATTTAAAAAAAATTTTGAAATTTCTTTTATTTTTTCTAACGCAAACAATCAAAAATTTCTAACATTTGAAAAAACATACATACATTTACATATTCATAAGCACATATCATGGAATTTTACATCAAACATCTTGTTTTTAAGATTTTGTTAAAAATCGTATTCAATTAACACAAAATTTAAGGTATTTTAAAAACTTTTTCAAATATAGTATTTGTTAGTATTTAAAATTTAATAAAATATTGATTAATATAAATACTAGAATAAGAAAAGAATTTAAGTAAATGTGCTGCTTATAAAAAACCCAATAGTTATGAAATTTTATATAAATACAAAATAAAGAAAATCCTATAAAGATTAGCTTAACGCAGTCTTTGTTGTATGTATCTTTGAATATTTTTATTACAGTTTTAAATACTTTTTTATACAGCAATATAACGATATACTTTTATTTTATTATAAAAATTCATTTGTAATGTAATAATTGTATTATCATCTTAATATTATAGATTCTATGCTAAAGTACCAAATCTTGTAAATTGAATTTTAATTCGAGATTTTGCAACTTGTCTTCTTTAATTAGTAAAGTATTTGTCTATTGTTTTTAAACCATTATTCTTTTTTATACAAAAAAAATATACGTTTTTCAATACTTTTTATAATAAGTGGCACATTTTTATATTTAATCACAAAAAATAACAATAAAACTTAGTTTAACAATAAAATTGTAACCCAAACAGGACTAATTTATTTGCAAACTTCATAGAAGTTGTTCTAATAATAAAATTATTTTTAAATTTACAATAAAACAAATATTTTATATATAAGCCATTAAAACAATTTGTGTATTAAGTTAAAGGAGGAACCGTTTTTCTGGAACTGGTAAGTTAACTTATTAACATTCACCTCTATCAAGTTCACACTTTGAACTTTTTGTTGTTTTAGTTTTTTTTTCCTAAAATAAATTATTTCAATTGAAATATTTTGTTTACGTTAAGCTCTTATTTTTAATGAAGTTTTTCTAAAATTTTTAGGTTAGGTTAATGTTGATAGTAGGATATAACTACTAACACTCCTAAGAAATTTGAATTTAATTTCGGTGAAAGCCTGACGATGGCAAAGGAAGTATTTCAGAGTTTCACTGTACTCTCTACATGTTCTACGTTCATCTGAATCCGCACGTACAATTTTGTATAGCAGCACCCGTAATTATGTATGTGCTCAAAATATGTACTGTCATACAGCTCTCGTTAGCGTCACCCCATTGGATCTTTGTGGTTCTACACATCATTTTAGTAGTCTAAGAGGGTTTCTCTCACTCATATTTTTAATTTTGCCCTCGTTGTGTCGTCGGGTTAACTACCTCGAGCTCCCTTCCGTTACCCTGTAAAAATTAAGACTACGTGTGTAAAGAGTACTCCCCAACGGACTAGGACTGATCCAAAACTAATCCAAATATGTGGTAAAAACATACACCATATAACATTGTGATTCCTAGGCATTACATCGGAGTAATCCCAAAACTAGTCCTTTGCTGACATTATGGGAGTACACGATCCGCAACATGGTCCTATGGAACGCAGGCTATGAAACATGTTGTTTTCAAAAATAATAAACATGATGCATGCCTGCATTAAAAAAGACTACTAAACGGATCATGTACAGGTGAGTAGTTTTTGGATTACCTAAATGGATTATATACTCCTCTGGCTTTAGATTTAAATTTATCATCTGATATCGCAATTATTGCCTTCTGGCTGTCGGCAAATATGTTAAACCCTGTTGGATCATTCCGGTATTGCTCGGACTTCTGCCTGGAAGTTAGTGTTGTGGTTTGTATATTTCTGTTTCTGGGTTTTTATTATAGAACCGCTTGGTCTAATGTTCAACTTGACCAAGACAATCTATCTGCGATCAGTGTTTCAAACTTTCCTACATATTCTGTGGGTGATATGCGTTCGGACACATCCGCTGATTGAGTATAGGCTTTCTAAAAAATAAATAGTTATTATTGGATTCAACAAATTATAAGAAATTTCCGAAAAATTTATGGCATAACGTCAATATCTGTGAAAATCGCAATCGCATGAGAGAAAAATTTTCTGTAAATTTGTTTACCCTTTCTTAGTTCCCTTTGTATTACTTATTAGTCAGTTAGTTAGTTAGTTAGGTAGTTAGTTAGTTAGTTAGTTAGTTAGTTAGTTAGTTAGTTAGTTAGTTAGTTAGTTAGTTAGTTAGTTAGTTAGTTAGTTAGTTAGTTAGTTAGTTAGTTAGTTAGTTAGTTAGTTAGTTAGTTAGTTAGTTAGCGGAGGCCTCTACTTAGTCTTTAACGTGACTCTTTTCTGTAGATTAGACAATAATTTCAAATTTCTTTCCAATTATTTTTAGTCAACTTTTAAAAATGTTCACATTTTTATATTTTCGTTTTCTTGATGCACGTATTTAATTAAATGAAAATAAAACTTAAATAATTATGCACAAAAAGTCGGCTATAAAGTGCATTTCACTTTAATGGTTCATTATTAAAATGCGTGCATACATACTACCACCACTCCACAAAAAATTTGGGGGTACCCAAAAATTTCTACAAAAAACAAGTAAAACCAAGTAAAAGAAATGGAAATTAAAAAACTAATCAATCAATGTTAAAAAAACTAATTGTAGGAAACAAAATTAAAAATAAAATGAAAATAAACAAGACAACAAAACTTTCATTTTGGAGGAGTTTAATGTTAAATAATCACTAAACATGAACTAACTTAAAAATTAACAAAAAAATAAAAATACTATTAAGAAAAAGAAAAATACTCAAAAACGACCACAAACCAAATGCAATGTTTGTAATAAACAAATAAATAAAGTTTAAAAAAATAACGAACAAATTACACACTTGAAATAAATTAACAAAAACTTAAAAATTTGGTAATTGTTTGTTAAATTGGAGCAAAATTTTCATAAATATTCAATAGTGCACACACCACCAAATCAAACAAATAAATATATAAACTTATAGACAGTTGATCGGATGGACGGACGGACAAACAACCGTGAATGAGGTTGCATTAAGTTGGACACGCTTGGCTTCATGATGATGACTACATTTTGATATGGACAGATATACTCAACTCAGTCTTATCATACATGTGGCTAGATGATTGGATGACTAGAAATACAATAGTCTAAGAAAAACAAAAAAATGTAGTTGGTTGGTGGTCATTAATATTTAGTAAACAAGCTTTTATGGTCAGTTCACGAAATCGTTTTCAAATTTGAATTTAAATTCGAATTATATTTAATTTATTTATAACCATAACAAGTTGTATTTGACATTTATGTTGCTTTTTACAAAAACAAAATTCTGCAGTTTTTAATTTATTTATTTATTAGTATAATATAATTTTATCATTTTATTTTTTTTTAATTTTTAAGTATTTGCCAATTTATCAGGTTCTCCCTTAAAACAATAGCTGTGACAAAAAAAATATGGTTTTAAAATGAAACGAGTTTAAAACGTCAACAGGTTAATAATATCTATTCAATAAAGTTGTCCACTTAAAAATTATTCTAATATTTTGATGTCTAATTTAAATACTGATGTATACGACATTTTTGTGGTTGTTTTTTTTTCATAATTTAGGCGCACTACACTAAGATTAAGGTGTATTAACTTAAAGATTATTTTTGTTACATTTCAAATAATTTTGATTTCAAATTATGACATTGAAAGGAACTCTAATCACTGAAAGG